GGCTTCTCGGTCTCCCAATAGATCCGTGTATGGTCTAATGCCGTCTATTTCTTTTCCACCGAAAAGAAAAATCTTTGCCAGAGGAAACTCGCAGTTTTTTGCTACTTCGAGAGCAGTGGCCAAGATGAGCGGATGGACAATTATGATTGAGGCGGTTGAATTGCAGAGTTGAGCTTGGAAGTCTTTCGGGGTTTGCTGAGGACTTGCCAGTGTTGGGATGCCACCTGGAGAATGATGAATTTTGAATAGATATGTGAAGACGGATGTCTCGCGATAAGAAACTGTCTGTTTGGTAAATATTTAACTTACCAGCTGCAATTACGCCAAAGAAGACTATGGCATAATCGACCTGATGATATTATAAACAGTAAGCGCTTTTTCCTCACTAGATAATCCCCCATCCATCCTTTAACATCTGAAATTGTCATTTACCTGATTAGGTGAGAATATAGCCACCACATCGCCCTTCTTCAAATCGAGCTTATCCTGTAATCCAGCTGCCAGTCTCTTTGAGTCCCTCTTGAATGCACCAAACGTCAATTCGACACCGGTCGCAGCATCGATAAATACTGGCTTGTTGTCATCAATTCCGTTTTCATTTCGCGTTGCGTATTGGTAGACACCCAATGATGGGATCTCGATATCGGGTACTGCAGAGCGGAAGATCATGTTGGTTACTCCATCTAGAATGTGGTAGTTGGCGGTATTTAAATAGACACAATCATAAGCGTTTATTGGTAGTGTTGATGCGTTTGTTATGCTTGGCACACACTGGTCACAAAAAATTTCCGTCAGAATGAATTCTCGTTTTTATAAATTGATCGACATGAGGAACGTTTCACTAATACTAATGCAGTTAAGGGACGGTTTTTTGATCGTCTCCTTTATGTTAAGAACTGTCGATCAGAATATTCTAGCATTTCGACAAATTTTATTGGATAAGAAGACACTTTTTATTGCACAGTCATTGCCTTTAGAGTTTATACCTCTTCCAAAGGCTCTTGTTTATTTGTTAAAGAAGAGTTTCTATTTTGTGAGTAATTCTGATCTTTTACTTGTTAAAAAGGTAGCTGGACAATAATACATTCTTGACGAGGCTAAATCTATCAACTAAAATCTCAATTTATTTACAGTATGTCTCCTAAGCTTCTACAGATAATTCACTTGTCAATCATGATCTCAATATTTTACTCTCAGACAGCGACCTCCCCATTTTGTCCGCATAGATCGAAATGTGATTGGTTGACCATTGATCTTGATAAATTTCCATAAAAAGTAATAATTAGGAGCGACAACAATCGACCCGATATATGTCAACACAACAACAACACAGACGATCCTCACCATATCCGAGTTTGTCATTGTACGTACACATATTGCTGAAAATTAAATGTTTATTGACTATTCGGTGCTAACGCGGTTCAACTATTCTTCTCTTCTTTACCTTTTTGGTAAAACGACTGTTGTTGAGAGAAATGCAAATGATAATGAAACAATAGGAATAATCTTATTTCCTTTTTATAAGATCTTATTTCACAATTCTCTTTTTATAAATAAATTTTTACGTTTTTATTCTTTTATACTATAATAAAATCTCCAATTTGGTAATGCTCGTAAGGATGTTAGAAACATGATTATCAGGTTTTTGAACTAAAATTCTATTCTCGTAACAAATTGGATTGAATTTGTTCAATTGCAATTGAATTCACCGATTGAGATCGCATATTAATATGAGTGGTTCAGGAAAACTATGTTCCCGCCCTATGTAAATACAGTGTACAATTCCTGCAGTATGGATAGTAATATTCCGCAAATATTGTAGTTTCATTTTCCACAAAAGACTACATTTGTTAGCATATTGCATAACAGTCATGTTTCTGAGTCTTGTGTGACTCCATAAGTTTAAGGAAAAAACGATTTGTGCACTTGGCATGGTTTCCGAACTATTAAATAAGAATTAGATTAAATATCGCTTTAATTAATACTACCAAAGAGTGCTTACCTCGGAAATAAATAATCCCGGCGTCTGATCATAACTCTTAAAACGTTTGAGACAACAGTTTTCGGCATACGCCCTCTCGTACTCGTTGAATATATTTGGCAGTATAGATTGTTCCATAACCACCAGATCCAGTCTCGTTAAGTTCGTAAAAGTCGACATACTGCATATGTCTTATACGTACACCCCCCTGCCAAAAGTATCCGTCACTCCTTGAAATTTACTAGTAAAACATATGAAAAATCATTTTTTTCTAAA